GAGAAATGGAGAGTCGAGACAGCAGCCTCCTTGCTGGGCAGGCTCTGCCTTGATAGGCCCTCGGCCTGGGATTGCCAGCAGGAGGTGAGTCCCCGTCTGCCCGAGCTGACAGTGGCTTTCCAGAGCCTAGCCTGGGGTCTGTATGCCAGGGAACACACTCTGGGAACCCAGTCAATGGAAGACCTTCACAACTAAAAAGTCTTTCTGTTTCTGTATTAGTCACCTCCTGCTGTGTAACAAATCACCCCACACTTAGCAGCTTAAAACAATAAGCATTTATCATCTCAGTTTCTGTGGGTTTCAGATGTGGTCCAACGGGCTAGTCCCACTGTGGTCTTTCCTGAGGTTGCAGTGAAGCTGTCATCTGCTGTCTGAAGGCTTCTTCATGACTCACTCACGTGGTTGGTATGAAAGTCTCATCCCTTGCAACTTGAATTTCTCCATGTGGCTGCTCAAGTCTTCTCCCAAGAAGTTTCCTCCCCAGCAAGACTGAAGCCCCAAGGCCTTTTATGACCCAGCCCTGGATGGCAATATGCATATGGTAATTCCCTCGGATCCTATTGGTCACACAGTCCAGCCCTGATCATTGTGGGAGGAGACTACACTGGCTGTGAAGGTCAGGAGATGGGAACCCTTGGGAGACCATCTTGGAAGCTGGCGACCATGGTAACCATCGCTTCGTCCCCACAGTTGCTTGCTGCCATTCAGTGGACACAAGTGACCTGAGCGGAGCTGTTAACCTGTGTTGGGAAGAGAAGAGGAAGAGGCCAGGAATCCCCGGGCCTCACCCAGCTCGAGTAACAAGAGCAGGGGTAGCTGAGCCCCGCTGTCGGGGCCTCAGTCTTGACCAGGTCAGGGCATGGTGCCCTGCGCACCCCGGGCTCTCGAGCAGCCTGCTCCACCAGTATCTCTAGGTCAGCTCACTCGTTTCCACGAAATGCATGAGGTGTGAAAATTTTGGGTCATGACAGCTGCATCCACGAGGGCAGCTCTCTTCTGGAAGTTCTGAGACTCGGTTGGTGATGGCGAGCCGAGCAGGGGCCATGAGCGCAGAGTGAACTCAGGATGGACAGATGCCAGCGATGAACAAATAATAAATAGATGAAATACTCATCTCCAGGAGGGGGTTATTAAGTACATGAGCAAGGCCAGGAGTCGGCGAGCCAGGGGACCCTGGGGTGGCCGGAGCCTCACTGCTGTGAAAACGGCCACATCTCTAGCTTGGGACAGAGAGGGCTCCCTGGCCGGGAGGCTGAGTGGTACTGGGCAAGCGCCTGGCACCCAAACATGTGTGTCCCAGGCTGACCCTTGGTCATTGGCTGTGCTGCCCAGGCAGGTGACTCCACAGCCCTGTGCCCTGCTGCAGAGTGAGGCAATGTGAAATGAGGATCCAGAGGGATCACCCCCATAGGGGCTCCAGAATGTGGGTCACCAGCTGCTGGCACCCCAAGTGTGAGGGACCCTGATACAAGGAGTCTTGTTGCCAGAAGGGTACAATGACTGAGTAGGTCCCCACTCTCAGGACAGAGTGGGCCTCCTGCAGTGGTGACCCCAGAGCCTGGAAGGAACGCAGCCCCTCCTCGGCTGGGGGCGTGTAGAGGCAGGGAGCCTGCCCAGCCCCTTCCTGTCCTGTTGGGGCACGATTTTCAAGACAGGAGCATCCTGGGTGTGTTTTGGCCTCGGGAGTCTCGACACGCTCCACATGACTTCGGGCAACTCTGAGTTTGCTGTCCCAACAAAGGGACCAGGCACGGAGACAACACTCAGAGGACAGGGTGCAGGAGCCAGGGCTGAGCCTGCAGCCGGGTGGGCGGGGCCGGGCATCAGCGGGAGGCCCTGAGGCTCCACCCCTCAGGCTGTGTGACCCTGGGCAGGTCCCCCAGCCCCCCTGATCCCCCAGCCCCCCTGCGCCTGAGTTTCCTCACACATTAGCTTCCAAGTGGGCTTGAGAACTGCTCCCCAGCTGTTCTGGGGACTGGGGCTGGCCCTCAGACAGCCCTGTTTCATCTCCTTGGTTTGTTGGTTTCCATTAATAAAGCGGCAGAGGAGGAGGAAGAGGAACATTCCTACAGCAAAAACAGTACAGTCCGGACGTCCCCATAACTCGTCTTTATCCCCCTTCTCCAAGCTCTAAGGGGAAGAGTGGAGGGGCCTGGGGACGTGTCGGGCACTGGAGAGGGACGGGGGTGTGTGTGGGGGTGTGTGGAGATTTGCCATTTCCAGTGGTTCTTGGTTCCCTGGACTTGAATCTCTCTTGGCTCTGCCCCTTGAGGAGCCGGGAGTCTCTCGAGCGGTGGAAGGAGGGGGCTTCAAGTCCCGCCCTGTGGCATGGAGGCCCCGCAGGTGGCTCTCTAGATGATGTGCTGTGGGCATCTTGGCTACAGCTACCAGCTGCCACCAGGTCACCTGTGGTGGGCAGCCTGGCCACCACACCTGCCTCCACAGTGGGATCCTGGGCCCGCTGCCCCTGGGCCTCAGGGTCCTCATCCGTAAGGTGAGGACACTGTGGGCCTAGATGACCTCAGCTCTTCCCAGCGTCGTCCTCGTCACTGACCGAATGGCTCCTCCGCGGGGCGGGGCTCCAGCTGTAGGCAGGGGTGGTGTCTGGGTGGGGGCCGGGCTCAGAGAGGCCTCAGGCTGCAGGAGAGCCAGCGCCAGGCCCAGCTGCCAGGCTGCCATTTGAAACGTGTCCTGTTGGTGGCACTTTGGCGTGGCTCCGGTGTTCCGGTCTTGGAGCGCATTTGATCTGTACGTGAAAGCGAGTTCTGTCTCTCTCCCTATTTAGTTCTCTTTGGCTTGAGGAACTCTGGGGGCTAAAGTTGTCCTTGTTCTTCCCCACAGGAACCTTCTGCGGCTCTCCCTGCCCTCAGAGGAGGTCCCCAGCTGGGAGTGGCCCCCAGGCCTTTGGCACAGCCTGCCCCCCCCCTCCCCGACAAGACAAGCCACCTTTCTCTTCCTCAGGAGAGTCCCTGAGTGTCACTTCCTCCTGGAAGCCCTCCCCCCTTAGTCCAGCCCCTCATCTGGGTTCAGGCCCGCCCTCCTGGTCACTTCCTGGTGGGGACCCTCGGTACCCATGCCCACCCTGAGACAGAATGCCTCAGGCACAGGGCGGGGTGGGGGAGCCTGGAAGTGTCTCCCAGGAGTCCAAGACTCAGACCACGGGACACCCTGTTGATTCTGGGACGGGGTTGCCACCAGGTCACCTGACCAGATCACTGGACTCGGGAAGGACCGGTGGCCGCCACCAGCTGCTTCCTTGGGCCTGCTGCTCGGGCAGTGAAGGGGTTAAGTGTTTCTGCGGCAGCTCCCTCTTCCGGGCCGCAGCAGCCGGGCTGGCGAGGAATGTTTGCAATGCAGCGCTGGAGGGAGGGAGGGAGCCGGCGGGGGTGGGACCGGCAGGCCCCGGGCCAGGCTCCCCCATTGAGCAATAGGCCACCGGTTCCTGTAATGCCAACCCTCCCTCTTCCCGCCCTGCCGGCTTCCTCCTCCTCGGGTCACTGTGGGAGGTGGAGGGACCCAGGCCCCAGAGCCTGGAGGTCAGAGGTGAAGGAGAGGGACTCCCAGAGAGTCAGGGAAGGGGTTCAGGAAGCTAGCCACCCGGCCCAGAGACGGCTGGGCCTTGCCCAAGGTCACACAGTAAGATGCCCGCGAGCTGGGCCCGAGCTGTAGGTTTGGCTTTTTTGTTCCCATAGCACCAGACTGCAACTCAGACACACCGTGGAGGTCACATTGCCACCAGCTGGGGAGCTCAGAACCACAGGAGACCTTCTCCCAACCCAAGGCAGAGCCTGGGCCTCTTCTCCCAAACCCCAGGATCCAAGAGCACAGTGGTTCCCACTGGGTGGGGAGAGCCCCTCACCCCCAGCACCGCCACTGCCCAGCCAGCCCTGGGACACTGGTCACCCCCGTCCCTTGCCTTCCGGAGTGTGAAGTTCAGGCACCAGGGCCAAGCTTGAGCTGGTCCACAGCCCCTGGGTTCTCTCCCTCCTCCCTCCCTCCGTCCTTGCAGCAGGACCTTCCTGGGTACCGTGCCCCGTGCCCCGTGGGGAGCTGTTTCTCCCCCACGCGCTCCCGTGGCAGCGCCGGGCACTGTGGAGGAGGGCTCCCCTGCCAAGGGCGTTCACAGTCGGAGGCTCGAAGCCACCTGGTCCCGCAGGTGCCCCGTCGGTGGGGACCTGCTCGGGGTCTCCCATGCTGGCCTGGCCTGGGCCTCAGCACCCGGGAGGGCCTGCTGCTGGGAGGCCACAGGCGGCTGAGCCCGAGGGAGCCTCTGGGACCCCAGGGCAGGAGGCACTCATGGGCCGGGTGGGCCATCCCTGGGCCCTCAGAGTCACACTACCTGTGGGACAGAGTTGGGACAGGGAGAATCAGGTCAGTGGGAAAACCGTGCTCACAATACCCGGCTCCACCTACCTTCCACTCTGCCCCCATTTATTGAGCACTTACTGCATACCAGCAAAGAACTAAGTGCTTTCAAGACAGATCTACCTTAATCCCACAGCCACCCCTCAGGAATGGGGACCCAGATGCTGCGGCTGGGAAGGGCCCCCAAGGACAGATGGACAGACAGAGGGCGATGCCTCCCCCTCCCAGGACCTGCGGGCTGTGTGGCATCCCACCTCCTCCAGAGCATGTTTCCTTTAAGAAACCAGAAGATTGATTTCCTGGCAGGCTGTGCCGAGGAGCCCGTCCAAATGGTTTGCATGTCTGCATTTTTTACTGCTCCGTTTAATATGTATGCAAATGCCGGCCGGCTGCGCCCGCCGCTGCAGTCACACGCGGCGCCCCATTAAAGCGGCCGTCCTGGGCGCGCGCCTCATTCGAGGCGACGGGCTCGGCGGCCCTGATAGATGGGGTGCGGGGACGGAGACAAATGACGGGCTTTGCAATTTCTTTCTCTCTTTTTCTTGGGGGGGAGCAGGGGGGTTGGAGCCTGGGAGCCCACAGAGGAGATTTAAATATATGCAAATTTGTTTGTGGGTTTGGGGGGGGCGGGTGTAGAGACCTGAGCCTGAGCAGACAGACGGGTTTCCTGGTGGCAGTGGCTGGGGGAGCCAGAGAGGCACGGAGAGCAGGCTCGGCCCAGGGAAGGAAGGGCTCGCTGCTCTCAGACCCCTCTCCCCACCCACCCGCTGGGGACCCTGTAGGTACATGTCATCCTCCGTCTCACCCTAACCAGAGGTGGCCAGCGTCACACCCATGGTGCAGATGGCGAAGCTGAGCTGGGGACTGAAGCCCCTTGGGAAGGGTCACAGATGAGCCCCTGTGAAGCTGGGACTCCCTGGAGGCCCACCTGTGATCCCCACGGTCCTCGGCCACCTCTCCTGCGCTGGGGAGTTTGTGGAACCTCAAGGCCCTGGGGCCAGCTTTAAAGGAGTCTGTCCTGTTTCAGGGTGTCCTCAGGGCAGAGGGCGCAGAGAGAAGGCTGCAGCCTGGGGAGAAGCCAGAGTCACACATCTGCAGGTGTGCGGTGGGTGTCCCCAGACTATGTGCCCGTGAACCTCTGCTGAGCGCGCGCCAGGGTGTGCACAGGATCGTGGGAGCAGTGAGCTCCGCTGTGGGTCCCTGTGCCGGGTGAGCACCGGGTTCTGTGTACCTGCCTGTCAGCGTGGACACTCGGGTCAGTGCACACGTGCCTGTCAAGGTGACAGCAGCCCAGAGCGTGTGTCCTGGGGCTGGAGATTGCCTGGGTTGGGGCTTGGGCCTCCCTCCTCCCTCCTCCCTTCTCCCCTGCCCAAGGGCCTCTGCCCCTCAGTGGCAGAGTCGGGTGACACCCAGCAAACAGCAGGAGGAGGGAGGGAAGGAGTCAGGGTGCAGCCCCACCTGAGGGGAGGAGCTCTTGGCGGGCGCCGGGGGCCCACCTCCCCACCCCAGAAGCTCTCTGTGAGGGTGCCCCCTCCCCGGGATGGGGGAAGTGGCCCTCCTCAGGGTGGGAGGAGGGTGTCCACAGGGTGCAGTGTCATCCTGTCCCTGTGGGCTCTGGGATTGGCCCCCCTGGCCTCCCGGGCCCTGTCCCTGCCCTGTCTCTGTTGTCCAAAGGGAGGCAGCGGGCCCTGGGCCTGAGCCCGTCTGGAGGCGGGACGTCCCATGTGTGAGGGAGGGTGCGTGTGTGCCGCAGTGTCCCCACCGGGGGACACTTCTAGATTGCAGAGCACTGCGCTGGGGGGCTCTGGAGTCCCGGCAGCTGGCCCCTGGCCCATCGCAGCCCCGTCGTCTCTGTCTGTCCTTGACCTTGGACCCCGGGGGCACTGCGGGTCCCTGGCTCTACCTGGAGATGCTGGCCTGCCCCACCCCCCACCCACAGCAGCCAGGCCAGTCCTCACACTGGTCCTCCCGAGGCCTCGTCCCCCCCTGGGCCTGCCCCATCCACGTCACCCTCCGGCCTGGGTCCTCGGGCCTCCCCTCCTCTCCCGACTCTTGTCTCCCCTCTCGGTGCCCATGGTGGCCGTGTCCCGGGAGCCAGCTCTCTGGCAGTGCCCTGGCTGTCCTCCCTGCTCAGACGTCCTGGTGGTGTTGAAGGCCATGAGGGCAGAGGATCGTGGTAGGAAGCATTCAGCAGGTGCTCACTGTGTGTCGAGCACCATTCCGGCCATTTCACAGGTCAAGGGAAAGGGCTGCGGGGGGAGTGACTTCCAAAGTCCCACGGCTGTGGCCGCGGTGGGCTCCCACCCTCATGTCCTGCACACAGTTGCCCTGGGCTGGCTGTGGAAGCCCCGAGGCACCAGATGACACCCCCTCCTGCCCCCCAGGGTCCCGCCTCCTCCACTCTGTGTCCCAGCCCTGGGTGGGGACTCCAGGTCACGGGTGGACAGGCCCAGCCCAGGTCCTGGGGAAGCCGGACGGCCAGGCTGCTCCTGGGCACAGGTCCCGCTGGCTTGCCTGGACATGAGGAGTGTCCCCGGGGCAGGCAGCACCTGCCCGCTGCCTCCTCCCGTAGTCACAGGTCCAGGGACCACAGGACTCCCAAGTCATTGGTCGCATTTGAGACATTTTATGCCTTCACTTATTTTTAAGGAAATGCAGATCAAAACAGCTGATGTGCTGGGTGCTGGGTGCCTGGTGCTGGGTGCTGGGTCGGGGTCATAGCTCGCCTCCCAGGGGGAGGCTGTGGGCCCCATCCTCAGCACCAGAGAGGCCAGAAACAGAGCCAAAAGCCCGGCAGGCTCCACCTCGACCTGTTAGGACGCCAGGGGACAGAGGGGGTGACAGGCTGCCCCTCGCACTGGGCTGGGAGCGTAAAATGGCGGGACCTTAAAACATCAAGAATAGGATCGCCACGTGATGCGGCGCTTGTCCTTGTGGAAGCCTCAGAGAGAGATGGCGCACTCGGCCGGGCAGCTGCGTCATTCCCGATGGCCAGGAGGTGCCGCGGTGACCCTGAACACACGGGCACACAGAATCAGTGCGCGCCACAGAGTGTGTTCATTCACCAAAGGAGGGGATGCATGGGGACATTGTGCTAAGTGAAAGGAGCCCGTCACAAATGACCAGTGTGGCAGGGTCCTCCTGTGCCAGGGACTAGAGTGGGAAAGTCAGAGAGAAGGCAGAGAGGTGGCCGCCAGGAGCTGGAGGGAGATGGCAGGGCTAGTGCTCAGGGGGCAGAGCGTCAGCTTTGCAGGGCGAACAGTTCCACGGACAGGCGGCGAGGTGGAGGCACCGCGACGAGAATGTACTTACTGCTGCTGTTACACACGTGACGGTCGTTACCATGAGCTGGGCACCATGAGCCAGGCACCATCACCACCGTGATCCCAGGGACTCAGGAGGCTGGGGCAGGAGGATCGCAAGTTTGAGGCCAGCCTTGGCAGCTTAGTGAGACCCTGCTGCAAGATAAATTTTAAAAGATTCACGATGTAATTCAGAAGTAGAGTGGGACCAAAAAAAGGAAAGAAAAAGTCAAGACGATAGGTTTTATGTTAGGTGCATTTTTCTACAATTTAAAAAAAAAGAATCCTTCGGTCTCTCAAGTCCTGACAGAAGGCCTTCTTTAGAGTGGCATTTGTGGGGGATGGAATGCTAGGTGGCAGGTGACATTAGAGCAATTAGGGGTGACAGATGCTGGTATTCCTGGGCAAGGGACCTTGCCATTCCGAGCCTCAGTTTCCCCAGGTGACATGAGGACAATGAGGTGTCCTCCTCCTGAGGCCAGCAGGAGAGGTCTGTGCTTCCTGCTCGGTGCTCCCCCAGCAGCTGGTCCAGGCAGCACGCGTGACCTAGAGCCCCGAGTCCTGGCCACCCGGAGCCCCGGGTCCTGGCCACCCGGAGCCCCGGGTCCTGGCCACCCGGAGCCCCGAGTCCTGGTGACTTAGAGCCCCGAGTCCTGGCCACCTACAGCCCCGAGTCCTGGCGGGTGTTGCGGGTCCTTTGGGATTTGGGAACGTGAGGCCGGGGGAGTCAAGAGACCTGCCCAGGACCTCAGCGTTCCCTGAACTGAACCAGGAGTCTCCTCACGAGCAGGGCCAGCCCTCGGCTGTGCCTGGGCACGCGTCTGTATCTGTCAGCAAGGGCGCCGCGCTGCAGTGACAGAGGAGCCCTACGCTGAGTGCCGAAAAGTGTGTTTTGCCAACGGCGAAAGCTTCTGAGTCCAGGCGACGCTGCAGGGCACTTGGCCTCCCCAGGAAGACTCAGGGATCCAGGCCCCTCCACCCTGTGGGCCTCCACCTCCTGGCCTCCGAGGCAGGGCACGCAGCGTCATGTCACTTCGTCCCACAGTGCCCGACAGCTCTGTCCCACGGCTTACCCCACGGCACAGGTGGCAGGTCCCAGAAAGGAGCAGAGCCGGTTGTGGCAAAAAAGTCCCACAAGTTGCCACTCGCATGAGGGTGCCCAGGTGGCCCCTGCAAGACACACACCAAGGCTTTCTGCTCCTCTCTGACCACGGAGTGTCCGGGAAGGCCCAGCGGCCTCCTGCTGTCCCGTGTCGTCACGCGCAGGGAGATGGCCCCTCCGGGTGGGCATCAGGCCCCTCTGCTCTAGTGGGCAGCCACCGCCTTCCCCTGTAGCTTCCTGTGTCCCTGTGCGGAGGTCTCCAAGGGACAAACGCTCTGGCCACAGGACAGGGTGCTGGGGAGAGCCGCTGGTGGCCCGGGACTGGACTGCAGGTGAGCACTAGGGAGGAGCAGCAGGGACCGGGACGACTGTGGGCTTCCCTGTGCCCAGCGACCCGCCTGTGCCCTGGTCCTGGGTGGTTTCCCATCTTCCCGTCTCCCCCAGAGCACCTCAGTGCCAACAGTTCTGTCTTGTCCACTTAAAATGTCTCTTTCCGGCCTGGGGCTGGGGCTCGGGGGTAGCGCCCTTGCCTGGCTTGTGTGAGGCCCGGGTTCAAGTCTCAGCACCACATCTAAATAAATAAAATAAAGGTCCATTGGCAACTAAAAAAAATATTTAAAAAAAATATTTTTCTTTCCTTTTTGGGGATCACGACACGGTTGTTTCTGACAATACTGTGCACCCCGTACCGTGAACCACATAAGGAAGCCGAACGATAGGGAAACTGTGAGAAGGTAGAAATCCACCAGGTGTGGTGGCGCACGTCTGTAACCCTGGCGGCTCAGGAGGCTGAGGCGGGAGGATCGAGAGTTCAAAGCCAGCCTCAGCAACTTAGCGAGGCTGTATCTCAAAATAAAAAATAAAAAGGGGCTGGGATGTGGCTCAGCAGGTCAGCGCCCCTGCTTCAATCCCTGGTACCAAAAAAAAAACAGTGTAACAAGAGGGCCGAGCCTCACCCCGGGGGCTCTGCAGGACCCTGCCCTTGCCCGCCCCAGAAGCTGACCGGCTCCAAGCCGCCCTCTGCCACGGGCGGGATGGACACCTGCCTTTCTTGCTAAGGGTGGGGCGCGAACCCGCCCTTCGCAGTCGCCAGCCTGGCAGGGCCCAGGGTTTGGGACCAGCCACCGGCTCCACGGACTCCGCTCCCCTCCTCCTTGGGCTCCAGGGGTGGCTCAGCTCACAGGGCCAGGCGGCCTCTTTGTCCCTCCACCTGCTCGCCCGCCTTTGGCAGCGCTGACGTCCTCCAAGGCACCGCCTGGGCGTCTCCACCCACGGGACCTCAGGAGCCCCTGGGGGTGGCCCCAGAGCCTGGGGCTGGGCAGGGTGGGGGAGACACAGGTGGCAGGAACTCACAGGGACCCTGCTTCAACCTCCATCAGGGAGTGACAGACAGGGCCATGCCCCGCTGAGAGGCGAGTGCAGCAGCAGAACCACCACCACAGCACCCTGGCCACCCCCAGTGACTCTAGGTCATGGTCACAAGCTCATGTGAGCCTTGGTTGCCTCTCCTGGAACCCCTGGGGATGGCTTGGCACTGAACAAGAGCAGGAAAGAGGTGAGAACCGTGACGTGGTGCCACGTGGCTTCCTCGGGAGAGCAGGGTCTTGCCGGAGCTGCGTTTTGGAGTCAGATGGATTGGAAAGTGGGCTGGTTTTGTCTCTTGCTGGCTGTGTGAGCTTGGGCAAGTTGCTCACCCTCTCTGAGCTCCACTCCTCAGGCACTCTGGGCACAGCCTCACCCACTTGGAGGGCTTGTTTGAAGGACAGAAGTATCCTCCTGAGCATCTGTTCTGTGCTGCCCTTGGAGTGGCAGCTGGGGGAGCAAGTTATGTAAGGAGGGAGGGTTCTGGAAGCTCCTAGTCATCGACTGTGGGGGGGGTTCACACTCTTTTTTCACACTTTTTCCTGCTTCTACCTGTTGTTGTTGTTGTTAATCTTTCTTAAAATAAACCCACCAGGTGGTCAACACTGCCTGCCCCTAGGATCAGCTGGAAACTCACTGCTTCAGGCCACAGGGTCCCTGGCCCTGGAAGAGCTGAGGGCAGAGCCAGAGGGCGGCCTCCCAGGACAGCCCCCACATTCTCCCCACAGGTAAGAACAGGCAGGAGAGGCGCCACGGCCCAAGGTGGCTCAGCTGGGGCGGCCAGGGCCCCTCCTTCCTCAAGGCACCACCAGGCCCTCTCAGGTCCCCTGTGGGAAGTTGGGGAAGCAGGTGAGCACCCTCCATGTCCTCACAGAGGACCTGGCCAGAGCACGCCCTGCACCGTCCAGCCACCTGACCTGGAGCAGGCCACACTGTGAGCCTCAGTTTCCCCATCTGTGTTTGGGTAGCAGTCAGCCCTGGACGGGGCCAGGGTGGGGAGGGTGGGAGGAGCCAGGGGGTCCCAGGCCCCGCCCCTGGCACTAGTGGGTGACAGATGGCAGTGGCTGCTGTGGAGAGCAGCAAGAAGGACCTTCAGGGAGTGGGGGCTGAAGGGACCCTGGGAATGTCTTGCCGGAGGGGAAAGGACAGAGGGGCTAAGGTGGAGGGCAGGGCAGGTCTGGCCCAGGCCTGCCGCCCAGGCTCCTGGGAGAGTCCCCTCCACCTGCAGGTCCCAGGGAGCCGCCCGGCTCTGTCTGCTGTGGTGCACACGCGGGTCTCTGTGGGCAGGGGACACTGTCCCAGCATCCCGTGACCCTCCTTGGGGACAGAAGCTCTGCAGAATTGGGGGTTGGGGCGGGAGGGGGCTGGGTGCCTGGGGCTGAGGAGGGGGCGTCTCAGCTCCTGCCCGGCGGGTGCCCATAGCTGGGGGTCCTCGGAGGAGCCTCCCAGCCGCCCAGACCCAGACGGCGCCCTGGGGCCACGGGGACCTGAGGCTGCGAGCCGAGGGCCGGCCTCGGGCTGGGGAGGCAGGTGTGGCCTCGGCTCCGCAGCCCGCGGTTGGGCCCCAGGTCCTGGTCCTGGAGGAGGGTCCGCGGTCCCGGTTGGGGGTGCCAGACAGCCTCGTTTTGAGTCGCAGCCGCGCTGACTGATGTGGTCACTCTTACTGACGGCGGAGGAGGGACCCAGAGTATGGCAGCCGGTCACCTCGGGGTGGCGG